AGGTTAGGAATTTCCTATTTGTACATAAAATTGACGTATTAGCAAACGATGTTCGTTTTTGTTGGTAATTTTTTGTTTCATCTGATTCGTGATTGATAAATAAGAATGGAGTTATTCTAAATGGGTATTAAAAATACTATAGGACCAGGCACAAGGTTCATTATTAGAACAGACGTATAATCTAATATAGGTGGAAGTATTTAAGATGTTACCAATTATACCACTCTTTGTTCTTTCAATAACCTTCATGTTGTTTACATTTAAAAAAAAACATGTGGAATACCTTACCTACTTATTTTTTCTTTATCCAGTAAAATTGCCAGAAGACTTCAAAAATACCGATTCTAGGTATTAAATCATACTTATTTGGTTTTATTCTTATAACTATGAGCATTGTTGCCAAATTTAGCAAAATATCGGTTCCGACTGTAATTTTGAAGGACTTGCAAAACGTTTCCATAGCTTGTAATATATACATCATTTTAAAGGATTTTTTTCGCAGAATATTGTTTCATTTAAATCGAAGATGGCCGCCATAAGAAATAAGAAAGTTTTGGTTAATAACTCGAAAACAAACGACGATCGGAATGTTTTCAAATCACGAAAATATCCGTCTCAAAAAAGTGTCTCAGTAATGTTAAAGTTAGAAAAGTCTAAAGTAAATGGTTTATGAATTATTGACAAAAAACAAAATTGGCTATTTTCAGTTTTTCTCGGATTTCTAGGAAGCAGAAAACTTGAAGCAAATTTCACAACAGGATTTAAATGAGCAATAAATTCCCTAAAACTTTCCTAATTTGAGCCACCCTGTATCTCTCAGAACAAGCGAAATACCCATGTAGAGACTCGAATTTCGGACACACTGTATAGTGAGCTCATAAAGTCCCGCATAAATTCATTATTTTGAAAAAGGTAGAATTTTTGGAAAATCGCTCAGACACGTCAATTTTGTTTTTTTGTTTGAAATTTTTCGATATATTTTTTATCATACAGGGTATCTCAAAAATAGCTTTGCTGGCATCAGCTTTATTTTTTTGAATGGTACCCCCTGTATATTATGACATTTCTGGATTCTGCGGAAAATTCTAGACATATTTCATGTATAATGTCATATCTTCAACTGTTTCGGAAATATTGACAGTTGAAAATTGACTTTTTTTGCAACTTTGACAGGCTGTAAAACCTAAACGGTTAATTTTACAGCAAAACCTATTTCACATTCTCGTCTGTAGCTTTTCATAAGCTATCATTTGACACCAACTTTGACTTTGAATTTAACCAGAGATTAAATTAAACCGGAATTTTTAATCATGGATTAACTTCAAAGATGGTGTCGAATGATAGTTTATGGAAAACTAGGATAAGAATGTATGATTGGTTCTGCTGTAAAATCAGCCGTCCAGGTTTCACAGTCTCTCAAAGATGCAAAAAATTCAATTTTCAACTGTCAATATTTCTGAAACAGTTGTTGTGAAATTTGTATAGAATGTTCCGCAGAATCTAGAATTGTCAGGGGGTACCAATTAAAAAAAATAAAGTTGATACCAGCGAAGCTATTTTTGAGACACCCTGTATGATAAAAAATATATTGAAAAATTTCAAACAAAAAAACAAAATTGACATGACTGAGCGATTTTTCAAAAATTCTACCATTTTCGAAAGAATGAATTTATGCGGGAATTATGAACTCACTGTATAATATGTAGTACAGCACCACAGTCCCATTAACCTACTTGAAATGAAAGAGGAATTGGAATATGGATATGATTTTTTAGGGCTGATTATCAGGGCCTTAATACTGTTTTCTCCAGAATGGAGTGGGAATGGCTCCAGGGATTCAAGGATGTTGACAATGCTTTGGAGGCTTACTATCGGATATTGGTCATGGGACTCGGTCGGTTTGTTCCAACAGTAGAAAATATCCTCGATGGTACTCAAACGAGACAAAGTAAATTATGAACCGAAAAAATAGGGCCTGTAAAAAATGCAAAGGAACCAAAAACCTGCGCTACTCAAAGCTTCGTTGAGAATCCGAATACCTTATAGATATTGATCACTTGGTGTTTGTTTCCAAAACATACGAATCGACTAAGAAAAAGCCACACACGTCATCACTGACAAACTTCGCAATAATTGCCTTCTCTCTCAGGTCCATCCCATTTATGCATCAGTTTTTACGATTGTTCAGTATTTTAAAACTTACCACCCCTATTATCTCGGAGTTGAAAATTTTTCGAAAAAATCCCTGAAACACGTCAACTATAATTTGAGGGAGGATGAATTTTTATGCAAAATTCACCCCTCTTTCACCTCCCAGCCCCCAGAGCCACCCCCTAAAAAATCTTAAATGGGAAAGGGGGTGAACTGATATATCATTTTGGAGGGTTTTTAATTCCATACATTTTGGTACTAAATTTTAATCCCTAAGTTCAACAATTTTGGAAATATTGACAGTTGAAAATTGACTTTTTTGCAACTTTGACAGGCTGTAAAACCTAAACGGTTAATTTAGGGGAAAGCCGACCTTACATTCTTGTCTTAGATTTTCATAAACTATCATTTGAATTTACCCGGAAATTAATTTTAATTGGAACTTTCCGAGGAATTTTCAATCATGGATTAAATTCAAAGTTGGTGTCAAATGATAGTTTATGAAAATCTAAGCCTAGAATGTGAGATCGGTTTTCCTCTAAAATTAACCGCTTAGGTTTTACAGCCTGTCAAAGTTGCAAAAAAGTCAATTTTCAACCGTCAATATTTCCAAAACATTTGAACTAAGGGATTAAAATTTAGTACCAAAATGTTTAGAATTAAAAACCCTTCAAAATGATGTATCACTTGACCCCCTTTCCCATTTAAGATTTTCTAGGAGGGATACGGAGAGTGAGTTTTAAAATGAATAGCCTGTATAGAGATGCAGATGTAGATGTTGCAGAACTGACTGTAAGCTAAGGTGAACAATGACTAGTTCAATCGTACTTTACGTAATTCTTCTGAAGAGAGGCATCGTTTCCGAAAATGATAAAACACAGCAATGAGAAGACTACTCCAAAAGATATTGCATATTCATTCTCACGATGACTCGCCAGCCCTTGCTGAGCCTGAGGCTGAGGACGTGAATTCGATTCATCAATCTTTCACTCCTGAGAATTTTTTTAGAAAACTTGAAACTGTAGTAGTGGTTCAGCTGCAGCTGTAGCTCACTGGCAGGGCAAGTCCTGTATTTAAATCGGGACAACGTGGGAAAATTGAAGTTACCGACGAGTAGCTTTGTTGCCAGGTATGTACTTGAATGTAACATCACTGCAGATGAGTTTGTTTCGCCTTTCAAACAGAATATGTATTTTTAAAGAGAAATCAACGGCTAGGAACCTGGGAGTTTTCCATGATTACCTGGTTGTTGGAGTAGAGAAGTTATTTCAGATTGACGTACTTTATAAGGACTTGACGACAGCTTTTGACCAAGGACCAAGTATGGCATCAAGTGCTATTATACAAAAACTGAAACCAATGAGAGCTACTAGGGAATACATAGATAGGTTGAGTCTTATCTCACAGGCCGAAGGCAATGTGTGGGATTCGGTAAGGTTTTTTTCTCGTGTAATGAATGTTACATCAGTACCACAGAATTACCACTTGGGACCGATTCGATTTTTGCTGCTTTGCAACACATTACTAGAGAATACAGTTTTTCCATGGAAGTTTTTTGGATTAGCTGCTTTTTATACTGACTGGAAGTGAGTTTCCTCCAAGGTCATCTTGTCTCATCATTATGGGCAACTGGATAAAAGAAATTTTGAAAAACGTGGAAACATAACACTCCAAATCCTAGATCAGTATGACGTAATATTTTTAATAAAATGTCTTGAAAGTTCCTTAAATTGAGTAGGTACCTACCTAGGTACTTAACGCTTCAATTGAGCAATTCATATCAAGGGTTATTACTTAATTGAACATCCTGATAGCTCTGTGATTCGAAAGTTGTAACTCGATGCAAACTAACCTGGAGATTTTTTGACAAAAATATAGTAAAAGCTTTGACATACTAGGTTTTGCATTCCATAGGTATCCTGATCTAATGTTTGATATCTTGGTAAAAGGAAAAAAGAAACGAGACCGCTTATGAATAGTAAAGAGTAGGAAGCAGCAAACTCTAGACATATTCAAAGTATCTAACAACTACTCCAATTTGAGGTTAACGACAAAAGCAAGAACAAGATCCTAGATGAGAAATAGTAGAACATAGATAAGCTCGAATAAAGAGCCCTTTGGTAAGACCGTGAAAAGTCCAGAAGATTTGGCTATGGCTATAGCCAATCTCCATCAGCACTAAACGAAGAAGCACATGCTATGTTAGCAAATTCTACTTGCAAAAATTTGAAGATTTCCTCTTAACCGCTGTACCCTATATTCTAGTTTTTATAATCATTAATCATACAGTTAGTTGAAAACCGCAACAGTGTCGTTGGTGGAAAAAATATGTGTAAGTATACGTATGTGGCTTGTTACAAAAAAAAAAAATTACAACATCGAAAAAATACATACACTCTGGGGACGAGTTCGATTGCGGTTGTTGAAAAGCTGCAACAAAATTAGGTATTTCTATTTTATTGAAGCAATTAGTAATTTTTGTGTCACCGAAATGTTTAGCACTGATAAAAAAAGAAAACAGTGAAGCTGCTCTTTGAATTATTGTCAAAGCTGGCTTATAAATTTTTATTGCCTAATCATAATAAGAGAAAATAGATTAAGAAGATAGTATAGTCTTAGTGAAATTCATTTTTAGAAATGATGCAATTAATCTTCTCATATAAAAATAAAACACAAAAACATATTGATTTATGGTCCCCAAATAAAATGTATTATATCCACAAAAAAAAAACTGTTTAAGTAAAGTGTCCCTTAAATTGTGTCAAATTATGTATTTTGTTAATCCGAAACAGGGAAAATTAGTCAACAACATTGTGCTCTTTAAAAATCAAAAATCACCATACACTTACCATGTTATTGTTTTTTTCTTGCGGCACACAGAACAATATAGGAGCAGAGGCGGTTTACAAAACTTAGGACAATGCGCGCTTATAAGTGATCGCGAACGAACTGAAAGTGTCGTGCCGAAAAATCTCGTGGAAATTTGGGAAATATTTTCGAATTTCGTAGAGGTGCACCCCCACTGCTCTGCGATAGTATACGGGTTGGGTCCATTTTGAGACCAAATCACCCACATATTTTTGTACAAAAGGTATCAATAATTATTCTACACTCAAGTGCAAAGAAATCGGCCCACTGCTAACTTTTGACTTCACCTATTTTTTTTTAGAAACTATTCATAGGATTATTATTATAATACATAATTTCAAGTCATATTAGATGATATTAAACTGTTTTTCAAATGGCAAATTTCTTTTTTTTAATCTCATGGATACTTGCTAAAAAAAAATAGTTGAAGTCAAAAGTTAGCAGTGGGCCGATTTCTATGCACGCAAGTTTATTATGCAGGCTGGTACCTATTTATTTTGTTTTACCGTTTTGAAACTGCCGGAATGAACTGCGGATTCGCAATACGCGCAGCCAAATCTATCGCTACTGGGATTCGCGCTCGATCGGACTGATGTGATTTAGAACTGCTGGCGTAAGAACCTCCGATATTCTACAGACGACCTGCGCGTTGACGAATTATTAGAAATAGTCGATTATAGCTGATTAGTTTTCCTTGGTAGAAATGATTTTTGAACAGTCGTGTAAGCGGAGAATAACATTTTTTCACGTTTTCAAATTAATCAATTTGAAATTTATTTGTTAGATAAGAAACGTCTGATCTAGACTTAGACCTTTTGACTGAACTTTACACCAATTTATAGCCTAAGGACTAAATTTCGCATCTACCCCAAAGAGATTTTACTGGTTGATATCATAGGAGTAGTAGAATCAATGAGGATCGAACCCAAAGGAATTGAAATGGTAGATCAGAACTGAACTGCGGAAAACCAAAAAACCCAGAATCTCTCAAAAAAAAAAGGAACTAGCTCTCAAAAACCTACAAAAGGTTAAAGGACGATGCAATAAAAATCCTACCAGAATATAAGAAATGCGATATGTAGTAATTATGAACATCGAAACTTACAACAAAAAAGAAAAGAAAACTACTACTTTCAACGGACCGGACATAGCCCGCCACTTGATTGCTAGGGGAATGGAAAGATCGCTGGACAATAGAGAGTCCACTCTCGGGGTATTCATCGACATTGAAGGGGCCTTTGACACAACCACCTTTCAAAAAATTAGCCATTCGCTAACAGAAAGGAATAAATACTACGGAAACTGTTACCGGATGGATATTACATATGCTTTCCAAAAGAATCGAACAGATAAGTGTGCATGACGTCCACATTGAAGGAATGGTCACCAGAGGCTGCCCGCAGGGAGGCGAGCTATCACTTCTCTTGTGGAACATGGCTCTGAACAGCCTCATTGCCTTCCCAAACAATAACAACCACTACACAATAGCTTACGCAGTTGACATAGTCATTTTGCAAAACTCGCTCTGTGAACGCATGCAAGATGCTCTTCAAATTATAGAAAAATGGTGCAAGGAATACAGTCTGTCCATCGACCCCAAAAATACTGAAATGGCCCTATTCACAAGAAAGAGGAAACTGGTACTTCCACTACTTCAGCCAGCACCCAGACTCTTAAATACCGAACTAAACTTTGCAGCTGAGGTCAAATATCTGGGAGTAACACTCGATTGCAAACTAACTTGGAACTGAGTTTGCTTGACTTTCGCGGCCCCAGGTTTATTGATAAAGTGTTTTCATTCGGGCCTAATGGCCGTCGTAAGTTGGAATTTCTTCCTGACGTTTCGCTAACTGCGTGGCTAGCATCTTCAGAGGTGCTTCCATGTCCGATTCTGGTAGCAGACTGACGCGTTCCCGACCGTAAGTTGTATTTATAAGTGAGTAGCTGTGGTGGGGAAGGAGCGGGGCTTCGCAGCACGTGGCTAACCTGAACTTTCTCTGTACTCAATGGGATCTTTCTTGCGGTTTTAAGGATCGGCTTCCAAATTTGGTTGTTTTAGTGTTTCTTCTTTCCTGTTGAAGTTCTCTGTATATTTGTAATTTCTATAGCCTCACGTAGAAGACGATTGAGGTATCCAGAAGTCGGTGCAAGAAGCTTGACCTCACTAAAGAGTATTTCGTGATTCCCTTCACTAAGCGCATTTTCTGCTACTGCTGATTTTTCCGATTGTCCTTGTTTGCAGTTTCTTTTGTGCTCTTTGATCCTGGTTCCCATGGATAAAATGGATCTTTTTGTTGTTCCTAATCCTATGTATACCTTACCACATGTGTATGCTAAACGATAGACTCCAGCGCTTGACAGTGGGTTCCTCTTATCTTATCCCTGGCTGATCTGATTGATTGCTGAATTTTCCTTGTTGGCTTGAAGATTGTTTTTATGTTGAGTTTCTTCAAGACTTTCCCTATCCTGTCTGTCACCCGAGAAATGAAAGGCAGGCATGCACTAGCCACCACTGGTTGCTCATCCACGTTTTGTCGTGTGGCATAATTTTGGGTCGCACCAGTGGCGTAACTAAGGGCCCGCAGGGCCACAACTAGTTTTTTTTTAAATACTTTTAAATTCAAATGAGATTCAATTGGTACATGAGAGCTACTCCATTTATTCTTAATTAAACATGTGGAACTTAACTTAGTTCTAGTTTTACTCAAGTAATATCTGTATTAGTTTTATTTTTTGCGTTGCTTGTGACAGTAGCCAAAGCATAACGTTTGTTTTCAAAGCTTATTATAGTTATTAACGTTATAAGGCCGATAAGAATCAAATAACGGCCGGGCTGAAGTTTGTGATCATAATCAGCCAAGGCTGTTATTTACAGTTATCGACCGTGGTTCGTTCTAGATTTTTCGTTATGCAGAAGATATCTTTCAATCATTCAATCTGACAAAAAAAACACTCTCCCGGCCGTTAACACAACGGCCGGCGGCCTGTTATTTTCATCTAACCGGCCGGCTCGTTAAATATACCTTTTCGATTTCAATTTCGCTCATGTTATATTAAGATAACATTACAGTATCACGAAAAAAGCTTTTTGCGTTCCTCCAGAATCCTCCATGACACAACGTCAACTAAAGGCATTGGGCTGCTCTTTCCATAGAAGCTAGTAAAATGGCCCTATTTGAATTAGTTAGGCCAGTTAGGGCATTTGCCAACCACAAAGCCTGCAGAAAGGATTTTTAGGTTTAAGTCTTCTATTTGCTTTTCTTTTATTTTACTTCACGGGGATTTTTCTTTTTTTTTAATATTTTCTGCGAGATTTTCTGGTTCTGTGAGTGATGTGTGTCAAGTTTTTAGACGATGCTGATGATGGTTTGTTTATTTATCTTGACAGGTAGTGTAGATAAGTGATACGTTATATTTTTATGTTCCTCGTTTTGTTATCTTTACTATTTTTATTATGAGCTTGCTTGGAATTTATTTATGTTTCCTATGTTCCATAGTTTTTGTTTTATTTTCAAAATTTGATTTATGTATGTCTTTTGGTTTCTTATTTTTAAACGAGAAAAATAAATCCAAAAAAAAATATAAAAAAGATGGGCCCCGGTAGAATCCTTGCGGGAGAAACCCGGATTCGAAGTTACGCCAATGGGTCGCATCAGCGTTGCCAGATATACCATTTAAATGGTATTTATACCATTTTTTCTTCCATGATACCTGCAAACATTTTGAGGAAACCATTTTCCATTTTTCTACCATTTTTTGATGAAAGTTGCCATTTTTCTACCATTTTTTGCATATTATACCATATTTTCTTCATTTTCAATTGTTTGAGCTGTTTGTTCCTGTGATGTCTAGTTGTTTTATCGAAGGACTTTTATGTATCCATTTTGCTGTTATTTTTTTCTTGTCAGGTTTGGGTCGAAATGCTTTGAATTGCAATAAAACATTGTATTTTCAATTTAAGATCACTCCAGCTAACCCCATGACGTCATTATTCTAACCGAAACCGAATTTTCATTTTTAAGACAAAGATGGACTCGTGTGCTAATCATAAGCTTTGTTCCAACACAGTAGGAAACCCTACATTGTACCGTCATGATTCTGCGCAAAACCAAAAATATGTGCATAGAATCAATCAACGATAGAATCCAAAGTTCGTATACAGACAGAGTGGTTTTGAAACGGTTCTTGGGACGGTTTCTGACGTATTGGAACAGACATTTATAAATAAAAACAATAGAATATAACAATAGAAGGGGGTCTATTGTCCTTCGGAATTAAAGATACCATTTTTTTTGTGTGAAATACCATTTTTTCAAATGACAGATACCATTTTTCAATGAACCTTTGATACCATTTTTTATTTTTTCCATCTGGCAACACTGGGTCGCATGGCCCTATCGATTTCAGATGCATTGTATCCATTTGATAGAAAGGCCGACTTGAGGTGATCCAGTTCTTGCTCGAGATGTGGCTCGCAGATGTTCCGAGCACGTTCTGTTAACGTTGTTATAATTCCACGTTTTTGCCTTGGAAGTGGTTTGAGAGTGCATGCAGGTATCTGTCTGTGTGTGTGGGTTTTCGGTACACTGTGTGGCTTAGTTTTCTTCCAGATTTCTTTTTGAGTACATATAAGAAGGCGATTTCTTGTTTTTTTTTTTCTCCTTTTCCATGATAAAGGATCCCACACACTGGCGCGATATGGCGGTGGGGGTAGCGATATTTCTGCAGCGGTAAACGGACAGATCGCTACCGCAACCGCCGTATCGCACCAATATCGCGTGGTGGTGGCTAGTGCATACCTGCCTTTCATTTCTCGGGTGACAGACAGGGTAGGAAGAGTCTTGAAGAAACACAAGATAAAAAAATCTTCAAGCCAACAAGAAAAATACAGTAATCAATCAGATCAGCCAAGGATAAGAGGAACCCACTGTCAAGCGCTGGATTCTACCGTATATCATGCACATGTGGTAAGGTACCTATACATAGGAACAACAAAAATATCCATCCGAACGAGGATCAAAGAGCACAAAAGAAGCTGTAGACTAGGACAGTTGGAAAAATCGGCAGTAGCGGAACATGCGCTTAATGAAGGGAATCACGAAATACTCTTTAGTGAGGTCAAGCTTCTTGCATCGACTTCCGGATACCACAATCGCCTTGTACGTGAACCTATAGAAATCCACAAACATACGAAGAACTTCAACAGGAAAGAAGAAACACTAAAACGCAAGAAAGATCCCATTGAGTACAGAGAAAGTTCAGATTAGCCACGTGCTGCGAAGCCTCGCCCTTCCCCCACCACAGCTACTGATACATAAATACAACTTACAGCCGAGAACGCGTCAGTCTGCTACCAGAATCGGACATGGAAGCACCTCTGAAAATGCTAGCCACGCGTGCTAGCGAAACGTCGGGAAGAAATTCCAACTTATGACGGCCATTAAGCCCGAATGAAAACACTTTATCAATCAACTTGGAACTATCAATAAGAAAATACAGAAAGCATACATCGCCTATGAACAGTGTAGACGTACCATCGGAAGACCTGGGAGTTCTCCCCCAAAGTAGTTATGTGGATCTATATAGCCATCATCAGGCCTATGCTT